AATTTAGGTAGGTGGAGCTGTTCTCATTGTAGAGGGTAGGAGAGGGTATGGAGGCAAAGTAGCCTCAACATTGGTCAGTGTATCGTACATGAAACACACCCCGCACCAGCAGAACTCAGCAGAATGGCAGAGGTCGAGTCAGGTCTAATGACCTGGCAGACTGGGGTGGATACCTATGCCCTGTCTCTACCATCTGCCCTAACCAACTCTCAGCCTGGCTAATGCCTCCATCAGGATACTGGGAAGCCCTGTGATCCTGGGGTATTGATCCAAGCAATAAGTTGGAGCTCTCTGTTACAGAGCGACAGACAGGTGGGGCACAGTTCAGGTTGGGGGAGCCCCAAATCTGAGCCTGCATTTGCTTAGAACTCCAGCATGGCCCAAGTAATTCATGGGCTCCACTTTCCCCAGTTATGTCACCACGGCTCTGTCTTCTGCTCAAAGACGGCCCAGCCCGGGCAGGCACAGTCATTTCCCAACACAGGCTGCCTCGTGCCGGCAGGCCAGATGAGGTTGAATCTTTCTCCCAGGACCACAGAGAGTCTGCCATCAGTGCTTATCAGCATTCATCCTTCTGTACTAAAAGTGAGAGACTAAAGCAAACCACTTCCAAGTCTTGTTCATAGATGCTGAGAGACTCTTTAAATTAAAGATGGTGGGACTGAACCGTCACTGGATCTGATTCCTTTAGGAGAGGAAGAGGGGAAGAAATGAATTCTCAGAAGAGGTGAGAGGCAGACCCAAGCATATTTCCATGTGCCGAAAGTATCTTTGTGGGGCATGCTCAGAGAGAGGGAGCAAGGGAGACAGGCACTCTCACAGCCACAGAGGCTAAGCAGGTGGCCATGCCAGTGCTGAGCCCCGGCACGCAAAGGGTGAAGCTTTTAGGCAAGCAGCAGCTAGTGATCTCAGCTTCCCTTGGTCTTAATGCTCCTGAAAGGCTCTCTGTAATTGGGCATCAGTAGTTAATGCAGTATTGACTGCATTACACGCTCCCGTGCCTCCCCTCGCTAATGCCAATTGCATCACCTTGTCCAGTCGCCGGCTTGCTTAGCCAATAGCCGTTAAAAGCCATCCAAATCATGAATCATATGGGAAACTTTTAGCAAGACACCGCCATCCAAGGAGACAATTTACAGTTGAGTTAATCTGGGTACATTAGTGAGACATGGATTCTGGACGACAGACCAATTTATGTTGTTTCCCTGTCCCCCATCCCCCTTAGTCCTCTGTGTGGGCGAATGAACAGAAGAGTAGGGTTGCTGAGTGGAACACCTGCCTCTCTGCCCAACGTTCCAGGAGAAGCGGGGGAGAGGTTCCAGGAGAGGCCTCATCTTTACAGACTCTCTGCCTGGCTCAGTTTGTGCAGGAAGGGGCAGTGATGTCTCCCTCCCAGAGGAGAGTACCTCTGCTGAGGCTAGTCATGGCAGCTGTGGATGAAGACAACCCCTCCTGCCAGGCACTAGGTGAGTGCCAGGTGGAGTCCCCAGCCTGTCAGCCATGCCAGGCCTTTACTTTCCCTTAGCAGACTGTATGCCCACTGAGCTCTGCCTTTTCGCCAATGGGCTAGGGTCTCTGCCATGGAACAGTACTGTGACCTGCTCCCTGTCTCCATTTGCAGGGCCAGGAAGGCCAAGGCCATGCTCCTGTCTACGGCCTAAGGCATGATGGAACAGACCAGGAGGTCCTGCTGGCAGCAACCTGTCAGACAAACTGAGTCAGCCGCTGAGGCTGTGTTCCTAGCAGTCATTAACAATTGAAGACTCCACTGTCTGGTCCTCCTCAACCCAGCTCCACCCCTTCTTGCTCATTTCTTACTTATTAAAAATGCTCTAGGATCATGTCTGGTGTTTAGCTCCACAATGTGCCTGCTGCTTCCTATGGTCACCCCAAGCCATCCTGCTGGGCTTTCACGGAGGCAGCTTAGACCCAGCCCAGCCCTGCTCCAGCATGCACCTGGGAACGTGCAGGCACTGCCAGCTGGGCACACTCAGCATCTTCTCTTGCACAGGTCCCCATAGTTCAAGCTCTTACTGTGCAGCATGTCCCCACTTGGGGGCCTCTTCTCCATCAGTGAAGGTCACATTTGATTTGCAGGGTTCAGGGCAGGAGTTTTCTTTACTCCCCTGGGACTTCAGTGTCGTTCCCCCACCCCCGTCCACACTCAAAGTCCATAGTCTGGTGTCAGACCAAACTGCAGGTGCCATGGAAGGGCTGGTTTTCCAGGAGAATTGGCGCTTGCCTCCCCTTTTGCTGACAGGGAGGTCCTGCAGCATTTAGAAAGCCCGGACCCTGAGTTCCAGTAAAGTGGAGATGGCTAGGCCAAGAGCAAGCGTCCAAATGAAAGCAATTAATCTTAAAACCCGAAGTTTAACCATTTGCAAAACAGATCTTTCTGTCTCTGTGGTGACCCTTCATTGCTCGACCTAATGGATTACTTTATTAATAATGCACTGTGCTTAAAAGCAAAAAAAAAAAAAAAAAAAAAAAAAAAAAAAAAAAAA